TAGAATATTCCACAATATTCTATACGATGTTCCAACAATTTCAAGTGTTTAAGCGTCTTAAAATTGGATTAATTTCTCATTCACCAAATAAGGAATTCCACTTAAATCGTTTAAATTGGTCGCAACTAATTTCCGATACAAAATTTCAACATTTTGTTCATAGCTTGTCAGGTGATTTTGTGATTAGTATGTGATAGTAATAATAAATTGTGTATTTATTGTGACCATGAACCGTTTGATTAAATATATGTAATAAAATTTTATTAGAGGTTACAAAATGTGATCACTTGATTTTTGAAAGATTTTATGAAGTTTGTTAAGTTTGAAAGTGTATTTTTATGGAAGTTGATTTTATTAATTGTGGTTTAGGATAGTTTAGGAATTCCATTAAAGACAATTTAGAAATTATACACTTTTAATTTCGATTTTTTCCCAATTTATCTCATAGGGAGTCATCATTATCATCATTAAAAAATATAGAAAGATTAGAGAAAATAGGATCTGCGAGTTTTCTCTTGTAATTTTTTTTCATCATAGTGAATTACTGTAAAAGATGGTGTATTCTCATATTAAGGAGAACCTCTATAAGTATTATGTGTTCTTGTGCGTCTTTACTTTCCTACTGTGATTTTATTGTTCTTGATGGTATAAAATTTGAGTTTCTAATGCTCAATGCGTTTTTTTTTTTCAATAATGAAAATTACATTAATAAGAATATAACCAAAACATCTTCAGTTTCAAATTTCAACTGTTGGTGAGCGATCATACTTCCTCCACTAAACTAGAACTTGATTTAGCGATTATTTTCAGAAGACGTGAATGCAAATAAAAAAATCTCAGAATAAGCTCCGCGACATGGCAGTCTTCATCGTAGAAGAGACATTTGGCGGTAAGCTTGTGTTGTATCTCATTTCTCTTCCGGCACAATCTAAGACCCTGTTTGATACCCCTTAAATTCCATGGAAAATGGAAAAGGAATTCAATTTTCCTACTTTAACCTTGTTTGATAGCAAAAATTTACTATGGAATTGATTTTCCAAGATTACACATGTGCCAATTCCATGATTTGGCGGACTTGGTTTTCCCACCTTTTTGGTGGGAAAATGAATTCTATGTTTCTGTTTTTTATTTTTACAATGAAAACAAATTTCATAATCAATTGTAAAAAATTTTTTTCACTTTAATTAACAATTTCCATATAAAATAAAGTCAAACGAACACTAAACTTTGATAAAAAAAATGATTTTTTAGGAAAAAAATTTTATTTTTTTTTCTACTTTTTGGTAATGGAAACAAATTTTATAACCAATTGTAGAAAAAATAATCACTTTAATGGACAATTTTCATGTAAAATAAAGTCAAACGAATACAAAATTTGAAAATTTTTCGGGGTGAAAAATTATACCAATCAAGCACACTTAATTAATAATTCTCTGCAAAACAATTTCTAGACAATTACTTTCCCTGGAATTCATTTTCTTTCCACCTATTTTCCACCCTTGCAATCAAACGGACCCTAAGTTCTTCAAAGTGCATAACTATGTTTCTTACCCAATGCTAAGTTTAGTTAAAGGAGCTTTCGCCAGCCACGCAACGTGTTTGGCCGTGCAACTTACCTTTAAATTACTTATTCTTTGGTATATTTTTGCAGATACTCTTTATATTTACAAAAAAATTATTTTTTAGAGAAGTAGTTTATGAACACAGACAAACCTGAAAAATATATAGGAAGCAAGGAAGGTTTGAGAACTATACTCTGAAGACTAAACAGGGAATAATGAAGCTCGTCAGCTCGAAATGCTTGGGATCAGTACCATCAAACAATGGCTGCAGCTTCTCTTTCAATTAAATCTTAATCCGCCTTTATCTAGTGGCCAACGGTGTTTTCCAGTGATATCAACACCTTTGCTGGACACAAACTCTTCTCAATATTCACATTCAACAACAGCTTCGTCAATTGTCTTCGCTTCTCATACTCATCTTATATAGGATGTTATTAATAATTCTCCACGATGGTCGTTGGGAT